GTGTGTGTGTGTGTAAGGATTTCAGAAGAATAACGACCCAAATAATGCCTGCAGAGTCACACAGTACATCGGATCCGGATGCTATACTCTGGATCCGAGTTAATGTCTGTCCACAGGTGCCACCGGGAATGATGAAACCTGGAAGAGGTGGGGCCTGTGGGGAGGTGGGGCCTGTGGAGAGGGCGGTCCTTAGGTCATCGGGTTGAAGCCCCATCCTTGATATTTTTTACTCGCTAGCTATGAATTAAGCAGCTTTAACTTCATGCTCTTGGATAACGTCTTCTGTCCCTAGCAGAAGTTTCAAAGCAGAAGGTCTACTCAGTCATTGAGTAGAACCCCCAAATCATGAGCTGAAACAAACCTCCTCACTTTGTAAGTTTGTGATTTCAGGTGTTCTGTGTAGCTATAAGTATTCTCCGTCCTGCTGGCCCCCCTGGATTGGTTTCTCTCTACCTGCCTGTTCCCGATAACCACTCTGAGGCTTATTATTAGTTATAATTGTTTGACCAGTGACTTAGGCTATTATTGGCTGGGTCTAACTTTAAATTAACCCATTTCTATTAGTTTATATTTACTGTGAGGTTCGTGGTTTGTTACGTCACATCTTGCTTCCCGGCGGCTACGTGGCGTCTCTCTGACTCCACCTTTTTTCCTTCCTGTATCTTTGTTTGTACTTCCCACCTGGCTAGATTTTGCCCTGTCCATTGGCTGAAACAGCTTCACTCATCAACCAATAAAACCCACACTTGCAAGCATACAAAAGGACGTCCCACATTGGTTTCGTCATAGTCACAGGGAGTTGACTGATACACCATCTACGGCAAGTCAGTGTTTCAGGCACCATGGTAAGACTTTGAAAATTGTAATCTCCCGCCAGACGGTGGTGGTGCACACCTTTAATCCCAGCACTGGGGGGCGGGGGCAGAGGCAAGCAGATCTCTGTGAGTTCGAGGCCAGATTGGTCTACAAGAACTAGTTTCCAGGACAGGCTCCAAAGCTACAGAGAAGTCCTGTCTCAAAGAAAGAAAGAAAAAAAAAGGAAACAAAACAAAAAAGAAAATACTAATCTCCCTAAACTTCATAAAAATGTCTTGACATGAGACTGTCATGGCCACCAGAGCTGGGGAACCGGAGGCAGATTGTAGGGGATAACCGACCTAATGCCACAAAGCCAGCCAGAGTGGATTTAAGACTCCAAGTCAGGCAATTTGGTTGCTGAAGTTCTGGGTTCAGTCCGCAGAATTCATACGCCAGGCGAGGTGCATGCCTATAATGTCAACATCAGAGGATAAAGGCAGGAGAATGGACCAGAGGCTCCAAGTCACCTCAGCAACATAGCAAGTTCTAGCTTAACCTAGACTACACAGTCTGTTTCAAAAACAAAACAATAACACCCTAAACTGGCAATCTCACAGGGCCCCATTCTTAGACAAAGGACTATGAGCAAAAAACCCCTGCTGAGAGATGAGCATTAATTAGTCTTTCCTGGAGAGGAGCTCTCTCAATACCAAGTGGTTAGCCTTGAAATAATATACACACATACAAGCAATACTAAGCATATATGTATTTATGTATATACACATAAACAACATAACACATAAAATATGTATATAGTTCTACATTATGCATACATACAAGCAACACAACACACACACACACATCTATATAAAATAAAAAGAGGTCATGAATTTGAGAGGAAGCAAGGAAGGGTATGGGGAAGTTTGGAGGGAGGAGAGAAATGCAAAAATAATGGAATTATGTTTTAACTTTTTAAAAATTGCAGCCAGTGGTGAGAAACCCAAGTGTAGGTGACGGTTCTGAGACACAGCTGCCAAGCTGGGCCCCAGGGAGATGGCTGAGAAAGGCCCCAAGGCCTTGCAGGACATCACCTCGATGGTGGAGATGCTCTTGCAAGGGGTGCAAGACAAGTTTCAGGTCACTGGAAGGACCGACAACAATGAGCAGTCACATTGATGCCTGGGAGGAAACTATCGGAGAGGAAGAACTGGAAGGTGAGAACAGGATTCTTGCTGCACAGAGGCGCCGGAGGCCCTGATATGCACACCAAATCCAGAGCGTCGTTTTCCCAAGCCGTGGCTTTCTGCCACAAACTACCTACCATGTGTCGACAGTTTATGAAGCCTGCGCTCTTACGACAGCCTGCGTAGTCTGTAGAGTGTCCTCCCAATCCCCCAGTTTCTCAAACTTGGCATCTTTACATCTTAGTCAGTTGTCTCAATTATGCAACACCAAAACTTTTTAAAAATCAGGAAAAATTTTAATTAATCAAAAGTTTTTTTGAAAAAAATATTTTTAAAAAATCCCAAATGGCAAATTCAAAACAAAACTAAAACAACTAACCGAATAACTAGATGGGTTTTATGAATGAAATAACTAGATCAGGTTTTATGTCTGAGGCGTGAACCAGTCTTTGGAGCGCGTGATGACAGCTCCTTCCGCTTCTGGGAGTACAAGTCAAGGTGGGGCCGGCCTGTAGGAGCGAGGACACTGCCGTGCAGACACCTCAGAGTCTAGCCGTCTTCTCGGAGTCCAAAACCCTAGAGCCGGGCCCTGGTCATATACGTCGTGACTCTCCTTCGTTAAATACATCTCCAGGATTAAGATGGGGTTTGTGCTCCATTTGGATTGTCCCGCAGTTTCCAGCGAGCCTTATCAACTGCTGTTTGAACAAGATGGCTTGGCAGAGCTATAAATGGAGGCAGGAGGAAGGGACCGTGGCACCGGCACCCATAGGCTTCTCTTTGCCAGCAGAAGAACATTCAGGGGGGCATAGCTGCCTCCTGGCAGAGTAGAACCTCATGGAGAGTAGAACAGAGGTGGCCAAGGTGGAAAGAGGGGACAATCCTACTGACTCTATGGTCACCATGTCTGCCTCTCCTGACTTAGGGGAGAGGAAGCTCCTGCCTCACTAATTCCTCCCGGTGGCTGTAGGACTCGACCTGCAGGAGAGGCTAGGAATTACCATCTAGAGAAAAACATCCGAGTAGGGGAGGTGCTAAAAATAGAGCTTCCCACATCCCTCCAAGAGCAAATAAATGAATAAATAAATGAATAAATGTAATTGACTGTAAATAAATAGAGCTACTTCTGCTGAGTTTTCTTTGCCTTTGACTGCCCCCCAGAGCTACAACATACACAAACATGTATCTTGATAGACTCTTTCATTAATTTTAAAAAAAATCAGTTTCTCACCCCCAACTGTGTGTGAAGTAATCGATATGGCACCATTATGAAGGCTGGAGGTAGCTTCTGATAAAATCACCCAGGGCAAACCTCTAGAAAAATCCCTAGACTCTTCAGGGAGTACAGCCTGTGACGGTTAGCTTTTCACTGACTTGACACAATCCAGAATTGCCTTGAAAGAGTTCTGACGAAGGATTCTCTAAATCAGGTTAGTCTGTGGGATTTTCTGTGGAGGGGGGCGGTTGTCTTGATTTCAAACCACCACCCCGAACCCCGACTCATTAGAAAGGTAGCCTTTGCCTGTCTGAGGATACCTACAGGAGCCATGTACCCACTGAAGCCAGGGGACACTCTCCTCCTACTCTCTGGTTGCTGGAACAAAGTAGCTAACACACTAGGACAAGATTTATTTGGTCTTATGACTTCAGAGGTCATTCACGCCTCCATGACAGGGGGGTCATAGTGGACAGGAAAGACTTGCAGAGAGCAGAGGAGAAATGGGGGTGTGTGGGGGTTTGGGATGGGTACAGAAAGAACCAGAGTCCCCAAATATTCTACAGAGTAGGTCCCTAAGGACCTACTTTCTCCTACTGTCTACACCAGTACTTTTGGGGCCACGAATCATGTCAGAACCACAGCGCTGGGCTGGAGGACTCAGCTCCCATCTTCAGCGGGCTTTGCAGTATGACAGGTCCCTCTTGGAGGACCCTCTTGGATTCTGATCACTTTTTTTTTTTTTTGATTCTGTGGGGACTATGGGATTCTCAGGGAATACTAAGTGTCGTCACAGGGTAAAGGACAGTCAGAAGGAAGAAGTGTATGCCCAGTGACATAGTCTTTTCTCTGTCACTGTGTCTGTGGATAGCTCTGTCACCCAGGAGCTCAGTAAGGACCAGTGAGATGGCTCAGAGGGTCAACCCACCTGCCACCAAGCCTGACAGTCTGCATTTGAGCCCTGGCTCCCATGTGGTAGATGGAGCACAAACTCCTGACCTCCACACACATACTGTGGTATGGAGCATATGTACGCACCATGAATAAATAAATAGAACATTCAATAATTGTTTAAATCACGGAGGGAGTTCATCAGAAGTCCCTTGCATGGCTGAACGGTTTCTTTTCAGTAGCCTGTCTTGGAAGCCTAGGGCTGCGCACTCAGGTGGTGGTAACAGGACCTATTATTGCCCAAGCGACCGTCAGAGAGCGGTGGAGGGATGAGATGTCACCTGTAGTCTTGGGCTTGTGAACACTGGGTCCCGGGTGGATAGCACTATTTGGACAGGTTTAGGAGGTGTGGGCTTGCTGGAGGAAACATATCCCTGGGGGCAGACTTTGCAGCTTCAGAGATTTGTGCCTTCCCCAGTTTGTTCTGATCTTGCTAGCAGTTCAAGAGGTGGGACCTCATGTGTTCACTATGGAGGGGGCACAAGGTGGGATGGAGTAGAAACCAGAAAACATTAACTTTCTATCCTCATTCGGGAGCCGTGTATCCTACAGGGCAACCCACTCCTTGTCTAATGATGCCACTCTTGACCTCCTTCCTAAGTGCTTAGACTTTATCTCCACTCATTCCCGTTTTCACAGCCACGTGCATACATTATAGGCTCGGTGTAACATGAGGGCTGGCTTGCTGGGGTATCTGTTCCCGCCCAGTACCCCACAAATCCCAAAGAAAATCACACAAAGTCTACATTAGGTTATAAAACTGATTGGCCCATTCGGTCAGGCTACTTATTAGCTCTTATAACTTATGTTACCCCATTATCCTTATCTACGTTAGCCACACGGCTCAGTACCTTTTCCAGCGGGGCAGCTTACATCTTTCCTCTCTGGTGGTCTGGGCAGAACTGCAGAGGGAGCTTCTCAGAATACTCCCAGTTTCTTTGCTCCACCCCTACTTCCTGTCTGGCTTTCCTGCCTATACTGCCTGCCTGGCCAATCAGCGTTTTATTAAAATATGATTGACAGAATACAGATAATTCTCCCGCACCAGCTCGGACCTGTGTATGGGGGAAACACGGGATTCTTGTCTTTCTCAGTTTAGGTCACCTTGCTTGGTTTTTTTTTTTTTTTTAATGGGTTCTGGGAACTGAACCCAGATCTTCTGGAGGAGCATCCAGGGCTCTTAATCAATGAGTCATCTCTCCAACCTCGTCACCTTGCTTACTTACACTTTCTAGGTCCGTTCATTTTTCCTAGAAGTTTTATGCTTTCATTGTTCTTTACAGCCAAATATATACAGTTGAATGATATCCCAAGCGTATATAGACCACCTTTTCATTATCTATTTTTCTGTTGATGGACAGCTTGGTTGGTCCCATTTCCTTGCTCTCATGATTAGAGTAGCAATAATCATGAATGTACAAATATCTCCACAGTAGGGGATGGAAATCTCTGGGTATGTGCCCAGGAATGAAACGACTGGGTCATATGGTAGTTCTATTTTTAATCTTTTGAGCAATCTCCAAACTGGCTTCCGTGTTGGCTGTATTAATGCGCACTCCCACCAAAAGTGGATAAAGGTCCTTTCCTTCTCCATATCCTCACTGTTGTTTGCTGTTAGATGTCTTGATGATGACTTTGGCTGGGGTTAAGTGGTATCTCAAAAAAGCTTTAATTTCCACTCCCCTGACAAATAAGGTTGACCACTTCTGAAAATACTTCTGGGCTATTTGCACGTCTTCGTTTCTTGAATTAGCCCATTTGTTGATTGGCAGTCTTGTTTCCTTGGTGCTTAGGTTAGGGTTGTAAGTTCTGCATGTTAATTCTCTGCCTGAAGCATAGCTGCTCAGGACTCTGCTGTGCTGTGGGCTGCAGGCTCTGCGGGCTGTTTCTCCTGCTCCACAGAAACCTTCAAAGATCAGGCAGCCTCATCTATTGCTTCTTGGTGGTAGTCCCCATGCTGTGTGTGTATGGGGGGGGGGGGTCCTGTCAGGTTCTGCTGACACTGATGCTTATCCTTGTTTCCTTCTAGTCACCTCAGACATTAAATTGGGGTCCTTGTTCCACTTCAGATTTAGCATTCCCCTTTTCTTTCTCCTTTTTGAGACCAGGCCTCACTATGTATCTCTAACTGATCTAGATCTTGCTATGTAGACCAGACTAGCCCTTGAACCCAGTGATCAACCTGCTTCTATCTCCCGAGTTCTGTTACTAATGGCACATGCCACACCACGGGTGACTTCTGAGTTGATTTTTGTATAAGATAAAAGATGAGGGGCTGGAGAGATGGCTCAGCGGTTAAGAGCATTGCCTGCTCTTCCAAAGGTCCTGAGTTCAATTCCCGGCAACCACATGATGACTCACAACCATCTGTAATGAGGTCTGGTGCCCTTTTCTGGTCTGCAGACACAATATTGTATACATAATAAGTAAATAAATAAATATTAAAATAAGATGAGGATCTGATTTCATTCTTCTGCATGGGGATTTCCACTTTTGCCAGCATGACTTGTATCTTTCCCCACTATACGTTTTTGTTACCACTGTCAAAAGTAAGATGGCCATAGCCTTCCAATCTCCACTCTTCCATTCCATTGGTCAACCTGTTTTTAATGTCAGTGCCAGGTTACTATTGTTCCTATAGCAGTGCAATATAATGTGAAGTCAGGCACTGTGCTACCTCCAGCTGAGAGCTTTCTCTTTAGGACTGTTTTGACTATTTGGGGGTTCTCTTTAAAACAAGCAGTGGAATGAATACTTTTATTTTGTTCTCCCAAACCAGTATAACATACTTCACAGTAGCTCAGTTACATTTTGTAAAAATTAAGCTTTTAAGTAGTAAGTATACTGAAGAAAATTTTGAAAATGTGACTTAAAAGTTGTTTTAATTTTTTTTTTGCAAGATTATACTAAAGTCTTAGTAATACTAGCATACACTTGATGTAAAGAAGCAAGTGAGCAGCGGTGGGGATCTTGAAATTCAGGGCTTCCTCCCTTACAGATGAAGCAGCCCGGTATCCTTCCGCTTATGACACTGTCTCTTTCAGATCTTACTTTTTAACTGTGTGTGCACGTAGGGGTTTGCATGTGTGCAGTTGCCCTTGGAGGCCAGAAGAGGGCGTCATATCCCATGGAGCTGGAGTTGCAGGCGGTTGTGAGCTGCCTGCTATGGGTACAGGCACTAAACTCTGGTCGTCTGCGAGAGGAACTGGTGTTCTTAACCACTGAGCAATCTCCAGCCACCACGTTATGAAAGTATTAAAAAAAAAAATCGTGTTGTAGAGCATGGCTTTTCTTGAAGTGCACGTCTGCAAGCATCTGCTACAACACAGTTTGTTAACAGACACTGGTTTCAAAAGCCTCAAGGAGGGTTTGGATGCTCCATGTGTATTGTGTTAGAGACACGGGATTCTGAAACAGCTGGACTACAGGCTCTCAGGTTCACAGAGAAGCAGAGGAAACACAGCAGCTGATTGCCATGAGACAGCGCGGTCCAGCTGCCCGGGTCTGAGGGAACCCGGGACCAGGAGCGCCACTGCAGGCACTCGCGTCTTCGAAGATCAAGGGCAGGCGCTGTGTTTCCACGGGAGTAAGCACAGGGCATGGGTCATTGGGAGTTTAACGTCCTGTCTCCACCATGGCAGTCACTGAAAGACTTCCACGATGGGAAGGCGCTGGAACTTTTTCAGTGGCAAATCAGGTTCAAAGCGGTTCAGCCTGAAAGGGCAATGCTTTCGGACTCTGGCAAGCTCTTAAGTCCGGGGCCTTCAGGACTGGAACAGGCATGGGGAGGAAGTGAAGACTTCGTCAGGCGCCGACTTTGATATGTGGCTTGTCTGAGATGGACACAGCTTCTGGGGGTGTGCAGGAAACAATTGAACAGGAGAAAACCGGGGTGGCACACCTTGAGACTGGGCGTGCTTATCGACGTCATTAAAGTTTACAAATCCCTCAAACAGACCCATTCAAGCTCAGTGTGAGCAGCTCCACACACCGCGAATGGGCTAGCTTCAGCCACCTGACAGCACTGGTTCAGTCGCCACACATTCCAATACAGAGGCATGCCTGAATCACGTGACCGACGTGTGACTCGCATGGAGCGCTGGAGGGAGGCGTGGCATGCGGTGAGGAAGAAGCCCTGCCCCACCCAGAAGAGAACGTTTCTAGAGGAAAGGGCAGAGCTCTCTTTCTTTTTTGAGAACAACAGATATATGGGTGTGGGAAGGGCCTGACCCTGATGGTCTGCGTCGATTACTGGGCAGGCAGCCAGATGGAGATGTTGGGCCCGCCCGATGCGGGGCAAGCCCAAAAGCTCTCTGAGTAGGCACAGAAACATTCCTCAACTTTGTTTAACTCCGGCACTCTTACCCCACCCTGAGCAAGTATATCAGCCCAAGCCTTTTCAGAATGGGCTGAGACCCAAAATAGACGAAGCTCCAAGAAGATAAATAAACCAAATGAACACCGCTTGGCTTCCAAACGACATGCTGGTTCCTAGGCAGCCTGCGCTCGCCTGCTGGGAGAGAAAAGAGCAGAGTGTGTGGAGGAGGGGAGGGGCAGACCCTGAAGCTGTTTCTGTAAGCTCCTCTCCCTGGGGTGGGCCCCGGAGGTCTTAGGGGGAAATGGAGACTGCTTCTGCAGGTCTGGAGCAGCCTTTGAATCTGCTTCCAACCCTAGGTGATGCTAATGGTCCTGGTGCCCAAAGGAATGAGGATTAGAGACTAGAATCATCCAGGCTAAAGGAGAGACGATATAAAAAGTTGTGAGCCAGGAGCATGGAAGCCACCAAGATGGGCAGCCCTCATGGTTCCCAGCAAGACAGGCAGAGAGGGGCTGGTGAGCCAACCAGGTCGGGAGACCCGCTTGAGCCTTGGCCAGTCTGAACTCTCCGAGGTCACCCCCTGGACACACAGAGAGCTTGTATTAGCATTCAAAGGAAATGAGGGCAGATCTCTCGATTGGTTCTGGGATCAGCGCCCAATGATCTCAGCGGGGTCCTCCCTGGGCAGCCTGAGAAGGCGAAGGGGTACAGGTTTCCTTCTGGGCCCACATGCCAGCTTAATCTGGCAATGATGGATACTGGTCCCTACCTCCTCTTCCCTAAGCCACACAAGGATCTCCTGATACGCAGGCTTTACTTCCTGGGTACAGTAGCTGGTCCTTAGATGACCAAGACTCCACAGACATTGTCACGGAGCTTTGGCTCTGGACTCCCTAGAGCTCTCTGGTTCTCATGATCTCCACGGAAAGAATTCAGATGAGATCCCCGGACTGCAGCATAGCAAGTGGACAGGGTTTATTACAAGCAAAGCGGTGTCATAGACAATGGCAGACCGCTGGGTAGGAACCGAGGTGGAGATGGGAGACAGTGGGGATGCGATAGTTAGGGACCCACGCTGTCCTCACTCAAGGTGACAACCTGCAGGAAGGCAGAGATGCCACATTATCGCCACATTTCAGATTTATCTCTGAGCATGGTGCCTAGTTTGGTCACCCCCCTCAACCTGCTTTTGTGATTCTAAACAATTTCCGGCCATTTCCAAAAACTGGGGTCCAGACTAGGGAAATAAAGGCTCACTGTTGCACCTTGAAAAGGAGAGAAGGAAGCATCATTCTTTGGAGACTGCCCTCAGGGCCATCAGCTTGTGGCTGACCCATATCATTCCAGTCCTGCAGTCTCAGAAACAGGAAGAGGCGTGGCTTTGGGCCCAGGCCTTTTCCTCTGATTTTTGTCGTCTCACGGTATGCCTGCACTGAGAGCCGAAGGATGCCCATGTTTCTCCCCACGCTGGGCAGAATGTGGTTGATGCTTCTGAGAGCAAGCGGTCCACATCTTCCCAGAAAGTACCCTGTGTTATTCTTCTGCTGTCACTTTAAGAACTAACCACGCCCACCCCAGCC